TTCATATCTATATGTACTAAAATCTAAACAAAAGTACGATTTATATGCTGATATTAAAAAATCATTTAAATAGGTTATAGACATTTTGCCTTTGTCATAAGTTTTTGAATCTTGGATGGCAAATAAAACAAAAGTATTGACATACCACAAGCTGAATATCTTTACATTAAAATAATTTTGTTTCTTTTATTTTATTATTTTTAATGAAGTGTTGAGCATTTACATATAAACTGTATTATTTTTTGTATTAGATAGTATATTTTCAGTGACCTTAAAACCAGCTTGCCATAAGAATTGTTTTATTTATAAAATATATATATATGCCATCAAAAATATTATATTCATAATTCTTAATGACAAAAGACAAGGTGTCTTTATTATTAAAAATTGTTTCTTTTTTTTAAGTCGTAGTTATCTTATCTCCGTCAGTTCTAAATGAGAGACTGATTACTTTCTCCTTTGTTTAATTTTCAATAAGATAATATTCTTGATAATGAAAATAAAATACCAATTTCTCATAAATATATATACCAGAAGTATATTTACAGTATTTGGTACATAATATTTAATTACATGGTTTTGGAAACAGGTGATTTTTGTCAACTGTTATTTAAAATATATTATATTTAAGGAATTGCAATAAAGTCGACTGTACACAAAAATATGGATTAAGTTTGTCAAAGCTAAGCTACCTTCAGTACGTTTAAGAATGTAAGCCAAAATTGCGAATGAAGCATATCTCAAGCGAAGCGAAGCGAAGAAAAAGTCGATAAAAGTATTCACTCAGTCTTAAATAAATGCCAAAAATCGCGTTAAAAGTTGTATTCATATTTCGTTCGTTCGGTGCATGTAAATGAAATTAATGGCGGACCTTGTTTCTCTATTTTTACTGATTGTTATTGTAAGTTTGACTCATATTAAAGTGAATAACATATGATTACAACACTTTGTGGTCTATTATACAGGGTGACTGGTGAATTACTATCAATATTTAAGGAGCATACTCGGTACATGATTCTCATTCGAATTATGTAAAAAAAAATAGGTACTTAATTTTTTACCAAATTTCCGTATAAATAAATAAAGTGTGTACACGTTCCAAGTGTTCCAAGTGTGGACGCGTGCGGCGGCGTGCTGATACAAAACCACGCCCCCGCCGCGTCTGTGTGAGTGTGTGTGTATACCTAATCTGTAGGGTGTTCATACGATGCGTAATTAATTACATAACTTTTGGTTAACTTTACTTAGAAGTTTATTAATATTTATGTTATATTAATTTTTATTTCGTCATATATGACCGTCAAATATCACGTCCTCAAATATCGATAGTAATTCACCAGTCACCCTGTATAACAATGTAGAGTCTAGCTGTTGTCAAGTTACTACAGCTAGAACAAGGGCTGGCTAGACTGGGGAAGTACCACCGTCTCACAGAAGATCGGCGTGAAGTAGCCTTTAATGGCTGCATTTCGTCCGATAAGTGGCAGCGCCGGTTGCCCTTTCTATGTTTCCACCCTTTCCTACAATTTTATTATTCCTACCCCTCCCTTTTCCTTAACAACTAAAGTTACCAACCATCGTTACCAACGCATCCACAGCATCTACATATATTGCGGATGTCCATGGGTGACGGTGACTACTACCCATCAAGTAGCTGTCTGTTCGTTCGCCGCATTTCACATAAAAAAAGCAATAAGGTTACTACTATACTACTACTACTACTACTACTATATTTAATTTATAAGTAGTTTGTTATACAGCAAAGCTTGCAGTTCACGTACATTTTAGGTATATACCTAAAATTAAAAATAAGAACAGGATTACAAAACGCCCTTTTGTTTTCCAGATTAGACTCGCTGTCTTACAAGTGTTGATTAGTTTCATGTTCCAATTAGTTTAGTCGTTTTCTACCTATTTTATATTTTGTTCGTTTAGCTCAAAATTAAAAAAAAACATTAAAAAAATATATATACTTATTCTATAAACTTTATATTCGTGAAGTTGTACATTGTACATTCGCCGTACAAGTAACACCGAATTATTCGCTGTTGTTGATATGCCTCAAATTCCCTGTGTTCTTTCAACTTTCAAATTCAGGAAATTCTAATCGAAAGAAAGTCTGTTATAAATAGCAATTAATTTATAAATAACATTCCAGCATTCCAGCACTGAATGATTTTTAGAGATCTTCTGTCTTAAAGATATATTTAAAAATGAAATCTTAATACATACTTAATCCAAATAATAGTAAACTACATATTAAGTAGTTATTTATTTCTTTATAGTATTTCGTGCTCATTCTCTGTTTTATTGTTTACTTATTTTAATCCTTTTTAATATTTTATGTTACATAATTTTGTGATAAATTTTAGTACTATTTGGGACCTACGTTATATTTAATATGTATTGTTAATATTTATATATGCATTATCGGATTATCTCAAAAAGAAAATGAAATTAGAAATATTACTTTGAGAGACATTTTCATCTCAATTTAATGTGGGCGTTGATATGTCGTAAAGTGTTTTTAATACATGTACATGTTTATTTCGTTTGTTTATTTAGCATTTCACACGTCAGTTATTATTAAGGAGACATACGCAAAAATGTATTACAGCCTCATTCACTCGTCTCACAAAGTAGATCTTCATGAGAAGTACTTTTATTCACATAAAATGACTTTTAATAATATTCTACTAAAGGAGAAATCATGAAATATTGATACAAATGCCTTATAATTCAATTTCATTATAGAACATGGTTGCTAAAATTTATTTTTCTATAGGTAAATTTTTAATCCTGATCTATTACTAGATACAGAAAAAAATTGTTAATGAAACCACAAGACACTTTCTCTATATTTTAATGTAATAGAATCTTTTAGATACTTATAAAAAATGTACTTTTTGCCTTTTTGTTTTTGATACTGGGTTTGTCCAGTCGACTTGAAATTGAACGATTGACCTATGTCTTAAAATTGGATTTATTTTAGGTTTGGGTCTTAAGGAAGATATTCATGATCATAACCTTGCTAGTTTTCGTTATCGCCCCCTATTTGGGTACAAATCTTCCACCATTAGAGTAAACTCCAATTTTGTTATATTTAAAACTGTGCTCTTTTTCTAATTAATACTCATAAACATCGAAACTATAAGCACTATATATACATTCGTCACAATTGAAATAGGAAAGCATTTGGTAAAACACACAGTAATTAACATCTATGTATCTCTTTGATGCGATTTTCCACAGTATACTGCTTATCTCTTCATCCAGTCCCTCTTGTCATTGGTTGACAAAGTGCACCTAATAAGTGCTACAAGTTTTCAATCTAATTATTCCCACTATAAATAGAGAGTTTTTTTCGCTGTACCATAAAAAGAATTTATTGACGTTAAGGAATACAAGCAGTCAATAGGTTCTTTAAGAAATTTGTCTTAATGTTTACAAGGGAAGATGAAAATGCAACGGAAATTATGCTACTTATTTTTTAATTATTATGAAGTTCATTCAGTACCTCTTACAACAGACTCAGTTGGAAATCGTTTGAATCTTTTAGTAAATAATTAACAAAATAAACTCTCATATTTAAATTAAAACGTAACGAGCACATGGCATTGTCTTTTGAAATATTTCGCAGAAATGTAATTTAATAATGTTTGAACGTAAAGCATAATTGAAACATGAGTTAGAGACAATTATTACAAAGTCTAAAGATGCCGAAGAAGTATTTGCCGCCTTAAGATTATTTTATTCATTTGTACTTCATTCTTCGTTTCTGTTTTCTTTGGACGAAGTGAAACTGCTATTTGAAGATATAACAAAACAATTACAAGAAATACGTCAATTGTATACACACATGAGTGTATGAACAACCTAACTAGTCACATATAATAAAAATCTTACTGTTAATACTTAACTCCAATACATTTATGCACAAGTGTATATTCTTTTGTCTGTTCAGACATGATATGGATAAAACAAACGATATTTTTTTTATTTTAAGACTAACTTTATATATATGCCGGTTTAATAACTATACGATCTTTATAATATAACATTCAGAAATTTTGTAATTATACTTCGTTCAAATCCGATGATTCCAAACGGAATTCTAACAAAAAATAGCTCAAACAAGCTCAATCTATTCACGCGCCAAGGTCAAAATAATAAAAACACAACATTTATATTAACGTTTCGTACGAGAACGGTCGGTTCACATGAGGTGTTTTGTTATTTGTTTCCTAACTTATTGCTTGTAGATAATAATAATATTATCATGTGAAAAAAGATAAGAGTAAAGTGCGATAGAATGTGGTATAATAGTGGTCTAGACAGTATTATTTGTTTATAATTTGTGAACAGCACAGTAACAAAATGAATACAATCAGAAGATCTGTGGTTAACATTGTTGTCGTGAACCAGCGATGTTTAAGGTATTCAAATCGTTAGTCAACACTTATATAAGTTGCATAATATTATTTATTCCATATATATTGTAACCTTACTGTGTATATCTCTTATTCTAAACACTGTAATATTAATGTTTTTTCTGTGAAATATTTAAGTTTTTTCAGGGAGCAATAAGGTAGTACTAGCAATAACGTAGTAAAAGCAATAAATTTATTTATTTGTAATATTTTTTTTTCGATAATTGTTTCATTTTTATAAGCAGAGTTATTGTTCTTATCTAATATGAATAAAGGATATTTTGAAACGTCTTCTCAGTGAAAAACAGGGAATACTTAATCAAAAAGTTTCAGATTTACATCTACAAACACAATCAAAGACTTGGAGGAAGTTAATAATATTAAAAGTTGGAAGGAAATTCCTGGACCTTCTACTCTGCCCATTATTGGACAACTACATAATTTTTTGCCTGGAGGTATGATCAAAATGTCATATTAGAGTCACATGATGAAGTACTATTAAACAAAGGAAACCATGTTTTGATGTATGTAAATGAGGTTTTATAGTAAAAAATCATCATTTTTTTACAGGTTCATTATACGGGAGATTTGATGAAAAGCTACCGGCTTATTTATACGAAACTTACGGACCAATTGTCAGATTAGAGGGAAATTTCGGTTCACCACCAATGATATTTCTATACGATGCTGAACCAGCGATGCATGTAAGTACATTATGATAGAAATTCAGGGAAGAAAATATGTTAATTAACATTTTATTATTAATTAATAAAACAGATATTTCGCAATGAAAATGTTCTACCACTCCGCCCTGGGTTCCAGTCTCTCGAATATTTTAGAAAAACATACAATAAAAGAAGTGAAGCAGTTGAATCAACTGGCTTGTTGACAGAGTAAGATAGAAAATAATCTTTTATCGAAATCGTACTTATTAACGCTCTAATTAACTTGTTATGACAACACATTAGCTTATAACATTTCCTCGTATCCACTTAAGATAACATGTTCATACAAATTACATTTTATATTACTTTAAGACATGAAGAGGCTTGGAAAAAATTTCGATCTGCAGTGAATCCTGTAATGCTTCAACCAAATACTATTAAATTATATTCAGGTATTCTAGCAGAAGTAGCGGATGATATGATTTCAAGGTAGGTCGGAAAATCATGACGGACGAATAAGTTAGATATTTAAAGTTTGCCTTTGTATTTTTAGTCATCATGACTTGTTTCAGGATGAAAAGTTTAAGAGATACAGATAATATGATTAAAAATGAATTGGATATGGAAATGAATCTCTGGTCACTAGAGTCAATCGGTCTTGTAGCATTAGGCAGACGTCTAAATTGCTTTGATCCAAATCTACCAGAAGATTCCCCAGTTAAAGAACTTATTAAAGTTGTTCATGATATATTTAATTGTATGGATAAATTGGATTTCCAACCAAGTTTGTGGAGATATTTTTCAACACCTGCTTTCAAAAGAGCTATGAAACATTATGAAGATCAAATCAGGTAAGAAATTTTCTTCATGAATTTTGGCGAATCACTAAAAGAAGTAACAAAACTATGTTTAACTTTAACCTTTTATTTAATTCTGATTTCAAAGAATTTGTATAATAAATTTCGCAATTCTTTTCGATTTCATTTAATTAAGAGATAACCATAAAAATCTAAACTTATTAGTTTAAGGTGTAGTAGATTCGTACACAATTTTTTTTAAATTGAATATAAATTTTTTCATTACTTATATGATGTAACTTAAAAATATATGACATTTAAGGAAAGAACCTAAATTGATTATTAATTAAATATTTTAAAAAATTGTTCTAAGGTGTATCGAAACCATTTTTTAACGACCTAGTTAGCGTGAAATAGTTGTGATAGTATCAGGGTTTCCTACAATTTCTTATTAAATCTTTTGAATGTCTATAGGCTCAGTGAATATTTCATAGAAATGGCTATCAAAGAATTAAAGGAAGAGAAAAAAGATCCAAGTAAAGAAAAAGGAATTTTGGAAAAATTACTAGAAATCGATCAAAAGGTCGCAGTTATTATGGCGAGTGATATGCTGTTAGCTGGAGTTGATACGGTATTTTTTCTTTCCAATATTAAAAAATTAATAATAAGATAAAAAATATTTTTTGCGCTCTTGGAAATGAATTAATAAGGAAACATATTCTAATTTTAGTGTTATCACTAGCTTTATTTATTATCTGAAAAATTAAATCAGATATCCAATTATTAAGGAATATATATTTTAAATTGAAATGTTTCATAAAAAAGGCAAAAACATGACTTCGTGTATATATGTATAAAAATTTATTTCTTTGCAATGAGAACTTGTGTTTTTGTATATATCTCATAATCCAAAATTCATCCTAAAGTCTGAAGGGGTTGATTGAGTGATATTATTATTATTTTATTTTACGTCGATATTTTTGTTTCAATTTCTTACACTGAACCAATTATTAAGTATTTTTATTAATGTGTTTTTGCTATTATTTTTTTTAAATTTAGTTTTAACTTTTATCGTATTTTATATCTACACAGCCCTAAATGTGCTTTCCTCTAATTTTCTGAAATTTTACTAAAGTGTTTATAACCATTAAGATCGCCTCTAATGCATAGAAATAAAGTAAGGGTTCAATGTAGAAATAAAATAAAATAATATTAAAATTATAACATTCGCAGACTGCCACTACTATAATATCATTATTGTACCTTTTGGCAAACAACCCCGAAAAGCAGAAAAAATTAAGGAATGAGTTAATGACAGCGAAAGATAAACGACCATACCTTAGAGCTTGTATAAAAGAATCCTTGAGATTATTGCCCGTAGTTGGGGGAAACTTCAGACAAACCACTAAGGAATACGACGTCCTTGGATACAGAATACCAAAAAAGGTAAGGTTATTATTTACATCAGGTACAATCCCTCATATATAATACTTTTTCTGTTTAAATATTAATAAAAATTGTACATTTAAAATAGAAAAACCTGTGGAGACGATTATAAAATCAGATTATATAAAATATTTTTTTTAATGTCTTCAATAGATGTTCATCGTAGTTGCTAACCAGTACATGTCTCAAATGGAAAAATATTACCCCAAACCTCACGAGTACATTCCTGAGAGATGGATTGTGGATAAAAACGATCCGCTGTATTATGGAAATACACACCCGTTCGTACACACTCCTTTTGGGTTCGGAGTACGGAGTTGTATAGGTAATATTTTTATTAAATAAAAACTTAAAAAATCATTTTTTGAAATTAAATAACGAAATGATTTCTTACAATAATACCTCAATAAGGATGGTTTAGTACTCTATAGCTTTCAAAGACCAATTCTACAAACACAAACGTTCTACACACACAAACATTTATATATACATACGTGTTTGTCATTAATTAGAAAGAAACTAAATTATTGTATTTAACAGGGCGTCGTATTGCTGAGTTGGAAATTGAAACTTTCGCGGCTAAGCTCATACAAAACTTTGATGTCCGGTGGTTTGGTCCACCGATAAAAGTTCGTGCATCTACCCTTAACTATTTGATCGGACCCTACAATTTCATTTTTAATGACGTGTAGTGAATTAGTCAAAAACATATATTTATTTGTATTACTTGTATAACAATAATAATAAATAGTATTTTCTAAAAAATACGCTTTAGTTTTCTTTGTAAGCTATAACATTAACGTCTGAAGATTTCTTGGTGAAACATTGGTATGAATTTCTCGATTCATGTATCTGGCACTTTTTCCTTTGGAAATAAATCTTAATTGAGAGAAACTTTTGAATAATGTGAAAAGGTGAGAGTCTTGACGTTTTTAATTGTATATTGGGAAATTTATGGAGTTGAATGAGATCTATCATAGAAAAGTCTGTAAATGAGGATTAAAGCGGCACTTTTTAATATATGAACGTAAAAAGAATATTTTTACTTAAATGGTTCTTTTTTCACGTTTTGCATTGATTAATAAGTGTATTGAAAATTTAATTAAAAATTATCTTATGTTTGATATAAAAATATTTGATGTTATGTTAAAAAGTTTTACTTTAATTATACATTATGCTGTGCCTTTCTAGATGTCACTTTTTACAATCTACATTCGTACCTTCAAGGATATGTAATGAAATTGATATATTGTAAAACATAACAAGCTATATTTATATGAAACTATATACATATGGATATCCATTTACCAAGTGGATTGATGTCTATTATGTAGCATATATTTTTTGTTCATAAGTCGCAACTGTATAATAAACAAAATGATTATAAGTAAAGATGAGTGAAATACTGTTTGCTTCTTACTCTTTGTTTTCATTTTGGCAAAATTTTCTGTCTTACGTATTAGCAGTACAAACATTACTTACTTATTTTAATCATTTCCAATTTCAACTATGACATCGTAAAGTGAAATTCATGATATTCTCTCAATGTACTTGACTTAACTATGCAAAATAATGAAACAGATCCTGTCACATAAAGGAACGGTTATTAAAAGTTAGGTACATACATTTCATTATAATTAGAGCAATAATTGTTTTAATCATACTTTAATTAGGTAATTTGTTTTTTATTTTATTTAGCCAAGAAACTAAATATAATAGACTACTATTGTTTTATTAAAACTGTGGTTTAAATATTTGTTATATTTCTATAAAAAATATTTATTACCTGGAAGTACAAGAAACAGAGGCTCAAAGAATTTTGGAAAGGCATTTCTCCTTATAGGACTTTTCTTGGCGTATATGTCATAGTTTAAAAAGGATTAAAACATGCTTTATCATGTTAAAATATGGAAGGTTTTGCTGCATGATTTTAAATAATTTTTTTTACAAAATAAAGACGTCGGAAAAAATAAATGCTTGTAATTTAGATAGAATGTTTATCACTTTCTAGTGCGACTGAATATAAGAATTAAACCGCTATTGATATCGAATTAATATTGAACGTTATGATAAAACTTTCACGTATAGACAAGGAGACGAAACCTTCTCACAACAAAAATTTCCTATGTATAACCACTCGTTCTGCATTTCCAAACTCATTGCATGGATCTTATATTTAGCATTTTCGTCTTACCGAATAAAAGACTTTAATATATCCGTGGCCTTCTTACTTCATTCTAACCCTACTCTGTCACTCTGAGCTCATATCATAAACTGTTTATGGATTTGAAGTCTTGACTCTAGCTCTGGGGCATCTTGGAGCTGGAGCCTCAACATCAACACCTTTATGACGCTTGCATCTAACTTAAACAAATGCGTTTTATTAGAATTATAGACTAGTTTTTCAATGACATTTGAGTTTAGGATGAAGAATGTTGAAGCTTATTCTTGATTTAATATTTATACACGCATAAGTCGTTTGATACAGTCTTTCTATTGCATTTGAATTTCAAATAGCTTTCAAAGATTAGTTTCAAGCATTTTTTAAATATTAAAACATTTTAAATACTTATTGCTAGTCACATTGTTTTGATATGGATACATTTATAATTTCAGTGTATGAATATATTAGATATATTTTGATTTATAATTCTTATAAAAAATGTTTCAATGCAATGTTTATCTTGTCATTCGAGTACGGAAAACCGATCTTATCGTTTGATTAAACAGAACAAGTAATGCGTAATGTATAAAAATAACTTACTATAATATTTTGTCATCAATTTAAATTTCTGATAACATAGATATAAAAATACATAATTATAATATTTAGAAAAAAGTTTTAAACCCTTATTCAAAACATAAAGGAAAGTGAAATAATATATTTATAATTTGCTGCCTACTTGAGCTATTATTAAAGTAGAGAATACCTTCCACTACAATTAAACATTGAAAGCTATTGTGCTTGTGAATTTACATTTCAAAACCATTCCGCAGTGTCATATAATAATTTATGTAAAAACTGTTTTGAGATTCATTTTCATACGAATTCCATTTAATTAAATGTACCTTTGACGTAATCAAAAATAAGTTAAGCACATTGAGATGCTTTAAATATTGTACTGAAGTACATTATTTCAATTCGCATAAATTTATAGTTTGTGTTCCATTTTAGGATATATTTTAATCAACGATATTTTTAATTTTTAAATATAAGACATCAATGAAAAAGGATTTAAAAAGTTAAAACACATATTAACGATTATAGTGAGCGCTAAAGGTTGTTGAGAATTATTTAAAATTAAAGAAAAAAGAGTAAGGTAGGTGAAATTCTCCCTTGTACCACAGTAGATATTCAGCCAAACACATAAACTATCATCTGATTTCACAATTAGCTAAAGACCGACGAGGTAAGATTTAAAACATTTAATAGTGTAACGGAAACCATCTGTTACTTTTAGTAATGCAGAACAGAGTGGGATCGAAAACTGGATTAAAATGGTCTAAGGAGATTATTATAGTAGAGGTAGTCAGAAAGTTTTTAGAGAACTATGAAAATGGAGACAGGTCTGTAGTGAGATGACGAAGAAGGTGACGCAGTTAAGGCAGTTAAGGAACTACTACGTAATCCAACGGGATGAGTAGTTCTAACTCACCAAAGTAAGGTAATACTTTCACAACACAAAAGTTAACTTACGAGACATTACTATTTCAGACCAGGAAAAGAATCTAACATAACTACCATAACTAACGGTACTAAATATATTACTGATGGTTAACCGAATATCGTCAGTGAGTAGTGACTTTGAACACTGGTCTAAACGGGTTATACTTGAATCCAAATTGGAATGGATAGAATGTCATTTTTAACATTTCGTTCAGTGAAAGAATAAAAGATAAAATCCGGAATTTTGCAGTTGGAATTGTTATCAGACAATTGATTGTGTGATATTTGTCAGCTCTGTCGAACACCTGTTCATAAATAATGTTTCCGGAAAGGAACTTATTTCTGTGTTTTTGTTTTATTACGATTAATATCAGAAAAATGAATTTAAGTTTATGATATAGGTACATTTATTTCCGTTTGATAAATCAAAAATTGTATAATATAATGAGTATACTTGAATTTAATTCAAAATAAAAAATTTATAGTTCGATTTTACTTGTTTTGAATCTTTTTATTGCTTGCTACAATACATATAAGTTATTTGTTAAATAAATAAAAAAATCCGCTACCTAGGAAAGTAGCATATTTTGAGGAAAGAACCATGCTTGTTTATAGCTGATTTAAAAATTGCTATTTTAATAGAAAAAAAGACCTTTTAAATAAAAAACGTATGTGGATACGGCTATAATGTTAATTTAAATCAATGAACAGAAAGCACGAATTAGTTAAAGAGAATCTCAATCGCTTCATATTGATCTTGGTTTAAAACCATTTAATTTACTATACGAGTGCAACGACGATGTAACAGATAAAATATGTCTTTAATTTATGAAACAAAGTTTCACTTAAAAAGTCCTTTTCACCTTACTATCTTGATTACGTGAGGTATAAGAACATTTTCAAGACAGTATATACTAGTGGTTGGTGTTAAGAAGTTTGACGATTTTTTTAATATTGTTTATTATTTTAAGATAATTTGTTACATATATGAGTATGTATAACTCTTTATTCAAAATCAAGTTGTCTGTGACTATTTACATCGTACTTTACACAAATTTAAACCTTGTTTTAATGATAAATACATTTGTATATTTTTTTATCTTTTATAATAAATATACTACTTCGGAATATATTACATACTGATATTTCTATTTAATTGTAATACATGTTAATACAGAATAAAACTAGACAAAAATTATATTACCTTTACAACTTCGTACACAGAAACTGAAAAGAGCGTGTGCAATGCCATAATGAAGAGGATCGTTTTTATCCACTAGCCACCTCTCGGAATATATTGCTGAGGTTTTGTGTTCCCACAATAACCAACGTCTGTAATTCAAACAAACATAGTCATATATATTTTGTAAAACATGTAGGAAAAGAAAAGGAAGTTATTAAAAACATTTAATGTTTTAAAAGTTTCTTTATAGTTAGGTTATAAGTTTTATTAACTCTATTTCTGTTGTCTTCTCGAAAATGGAAAGTTACAAGATAAATTAATTTTTAAATCATAAAATAGATATCTTGGTGGGGATGAACTATGACTCACATCTTTCCATCTAACGAGTACCATAACCATGATAGCCCGGTACGATGCTTGTTGCGGATAATTCATATTGAGCAGCTAGCTAACATCATATACGAAACAATAGCTCTGATGTTAAAGACCTAAGCATATGTTTTAATGGAACTTTATTATTTATATACATGAATACGTAAAAAAATATATGTAAAACGTAGTTACTACGTAGTCAGTGGTGGCCTAGTGGTTAAGGGGTCCGCCTCTCATTGCCGAGGGCGCGGGTTCAAACCTGGCAAGTACCAATGTGATTTTTCTGAGTCATATGTACTTTCTGAGAGTATTTAGACACCACTGACATACGGTGAAGGAAAACATCGTGAGGAAACCTGGACTTATAGTTTCACAATTATAAGTTTGAAATCACCAACTCGTCTTGAGCAAGCGTGGTGATTAATGCTCAAAACCTTCTCCATGTGAGAAGAGGCTATGCTCAGCAGTGG